GGGGGGGGGGGGGGGGCGGGAATCAAATCAACTCATACCATTGTTGCTATTTATTTCTGTTAGTGTCAATGAGGCACTTTATTAGCTAATGTCAATCAGGCATCTAAATGTGATTAACCTTGTATAGCATAAAGGATTAATGGTAATACTGTAAACAGAGAGCAGATCAGAGACTTACAGATTCCTCTTTCATACATATTTCTTAGAAGAACTATTTAGTGGGCTTTTTCCAATTATTTTTACATGTATGGAGGCACAGGACATTATATTTGTGCTGCATACTTACGTTTCAGATTTTTTTCCTCTACTGTTTCTTCTCAGGGTCCTACTTTTCAAGTGTACTTAATATGTCATTTGTATTTGAATACATACAGATTATGGTGCAGGGGGTATTTTAAACTATGGGATCAAAATGGCTGTATGAATACAGCCGCCACTATACCACAAACAATAGACTTCGATGCTACAGACAAGCTGTAAGAAGTCTGACATGCAGATTTCAGCCTTTGGAAGAGAGCTACACTAGAAATCACAGTCTTTCAGGCAACCTTTTAAGGCAATACAAAGACAATTGAAGTTATTAAGGATCTGCTCAGAGATAAGGTTCTGCTGTGAGCACTGAATGCTTCCACAATGTACACACTGCATAACAATATTTGCGTGCTTCCATTAGCAAACCTGTATGAAATACTGAACAGTTCTGTCATTGCAGAGTGTTTTAAAAGCAAGTTTAATTTTGCATTAAAGATTGGAGAGGTAGCCTCAAATAGGCCAAGCCTTTCTACAACAAGGACATGCACTAATATTTAAAAACACACCTTCTTTCAATGCTTTCTAAAACCAGGCTAGACATTTCTTCCAAACCTATGAAATATGGAGACTATTAGACTAAGAAGTTATTTCACTATATAGATGCCTAGGAATAAAGTTTATTCATTATAGTATCTCAAGGAAAGCCTCAAGGGTGGGCAAACACTCCCACCCTTACCTACAAAGTAATGCAGTTTGAAGAACTGACAGGATGTTCCCATGAAAGAAGGCCACACTTGCAATCTCTGAAATATCAAAGGTCTTACATGACTGCAGAGATCCTTCATCAGGGAACACTAAAACGAGCAGGTAATCCTCAAGCCAACACCATAAAAAACAGCCTTGATTTCACCCAACATATGATTAGACTATTACTGTATGGAAAGGTTGTGAAGACATGCAGGTTCAAAGTGATTGGAATTTTTCATGCATCTCTGCAATAAGAGAGTTTTCTCCCAAACTGTTTCTTGGCACAAGGGGGAGGTCTTGCTCCTTTTCTGGTTCTGTTTCCAGCCATCTCAGGGAAACATTAGATTGTCTCACATTACAGCTGGGTTGATTTAATGCTTGAATATAGCTGAAGAGATGGTAACGCCCAATTCCCCTTCCAAACCTGGATTTTTGATTCCCCATGAATGAACGTTAGCACCCATGTGACCCCATAGCGAGTTCACAGTGATAAAAGAATAACCACTCTCTGTACAGATTTTGTCTCACTTTACCTCCCTGAACCTGCTCACCTTGGGCTCAGACCACCAGCAGCACAAGGGAAGGAACATGCCACCCCCAACAGCAGTCTCTATCCTGCCTCCGTTTCCTGGCTCCAGTGCTTCTTTGTGCAACTTCAGGGAGAGAACTGATAAAAAAATAACCTATGGGGGTAACAGGGATTCCTCTTCCTGGCTCCAGTGCTTCTTTGTGCAACTTCAGGGAGAGAACTGATAAAAAAATAACCTATGGGGGTAACAGGGATTCCTCTTCCCACTCCCAGGGTAGTCCTCTATACCCATTTCACAGATGATCTAACTGTTAGGCACCATAGAGGCTGGCATTGCTGCTGAATAAAATCTTCATAACTACACCCTTAGAGCAAGCCTGTAGTTTTACTCAAATTTGACAATCATGATTTATGAAGGCACTTCACTCCTTCCTACACCTTTCCTTGGGCTGTATGTTCTTGCCTCTGCACCATTCCCTGCATTATGGTAGCCCAAATGTTTGTGCAGATGGGGAAGAGAATGAGGTCATGGAATTGATCTGGTTGGGAAAAAGTGGGAGCCAAAAGTACCTAGGAAGCCCACAAGCAAAACAAACAAAATGAAAAACAAACAAAACCTACAGCCAAAAACGGCTGCAAAACTGCCAAATGGAAATCCACAGCCTCAGAGTGCATACAAGCTGTTACACATCTTTCATTCAGCCATGTATTTACTTAGGACAGAATGAGAATAGAACAAGCCCACAGGTTCTTCCAACATTTTAGGATAAGAGACTTGCTTCTGTAGCCCTGCATCCTAGCGACACCCGTGTCTGGAAGAGCAGAGAAGCAAGTGAAAACACTGTTCCCCTTTGTTTCACTGCTGCAGCATTTGGCTTGCCTCTTTCTACTTTCTTTGGCATTCTTGTGCAGGTTGCTGTGCTGGCATTGGTGGAAACAGTTTCAGTGATTTCAGTGGGAGTTCTATAAGAGTGGTGTGTCCAGGCCTGAGACCATCATTAAAGATCCTGGGGTAACTTTTTAAGAGCTGAGATCAAAAGATTACTCCTGAGTAGATCTTGTGTTCACATGCTTGCTTCCTTCAAGTTACGTTTGGCTCACTTTTCTGAAGCCTATGGAGCAGTCACAGGACTGAAAATGACACCTTCTGTCTTTCATTAGTGTCTGTCTTTCTACCTGGAGTTGTGCTCAGGGCACCAAAGGTCAGGGCACCTCTTTCTCTCTGGCCACAAGAAACAGAGAGACTTACCAAAACAAAGGGATACACAATGTTGTCCACAGTTGGATAAGTTGAAAGCCTGGACATACTTACCATGTTTCTTGAAAATTTGAGAAAAAGAGCCCAAAGAATCAGGAATTAAAAAAAAAACAGATTTCTAACTCTGTTAGAAAAATACACTTGTCCAGAAACTACCATACTTTTCCAGATTAATAGCAAAAGGAGTTAGGAATTATTCAGTGTCCATTGTAATATAAGTCCATCCTAATAGCACTGTGTACTGGTGTACAAAGAACTACAGTTTCATATAAAATGCCTTGCTATGTACATGGATATTATTTTGCTAGCTTATTATCTCAATAATTCATATGGTATATTTCATCATAGTTATTAATATGTTAATAAGTAAATAACATGAGCCACAGGTGGATTTTTATGTGATTATGCCTCAAAATAAAGACTCACTTGCTACTACATTTTCAAAAACATAAATATGAAATGCTTCATGATCTCTTAGATGATTTCTCAGTTTGGCAAGGTACTGGGGCTTAGGCGGTCTGAATCAATTTCTGACTCCACCACAAAAGGCCCTCTGTGATCTGGTGCTCTGTTTTCCAGTTTCCATCTGTGGCAGCAACAGCCCAAATTAAGTGCTGCATTTAAATGACAGCATCATGCAGACTCGCTCTAGTAAAGCTTTCATGATGCCCTTTCACTACCTCCAATCTAATCCACACTAATGAATCCCTGACTAATAGGTCCAGGAGAAACAAATCAGTACTACATACACTAATTTATTTTTCCCCATAGCAGAATCCTGACGGTTGTTTCATTAATATAAAATTAAAGCCATGGACAGAAAGGAAATAAAACTGAAAAGGGGAAGAAAGTAACAGCATAAAATGCTTTGAAAGATGCATCTAAAGAAACTCTCTGCCTAGAAACAACATGAGCAGGGAAAGGGGAAAAGGAATTAAATCAGGGAAGAAGAGTTTGGACTTTCATTCAAGATTTATAATTTCCAAAGAAACAAGATTTTTATTTTCCAAAACAAGCCTAGTACATGAGTTTAATTCTGTCCCAGTACAGTGAATAAGCAGTTGCTGCAAATTTCTACTAAAATAAAACCATCTTCTATTTTGCCAAATGAACTAAAAACTGGGCACATCTAACCCAAGCTCTTCAGAGACGGATCACATCTGTGCACAGATGCATTAGTGCATAAATAAGAAAATGTTAGCAACTGGAAAGAAGGAACAAAAAGATGGGTCTAAAAAGAAAGAGAGAAAGAAATTAGACACTCAGTTTACTGCTTACTTACTTACAGCTACTTTGTTTTTGCATACCAAGTTAAACAGTTACTAAAAATAAAGATGTAGCAATCTTAGAATATTATAGTTCTCAAAAAGGAAAAGTAAACTTACATCTCTTGATTGCTGCTCTTATGGATGACAAGGGTCCTTGGCTTATTGAAGAAAAAAAAATTAAAACATGGTTAATGTCTCAAAGATAAAATAATTAAGTAATATTAAGTAACAAAAAATCCCCATATATTGTAAAGGGTTTGCCAAGCCTGTTTTTTTCCTCCAACATTGCTATCTTACAGAAATTTGTCCAAAACTCCTGGACTATACAAACATATGCAACCCCTTTTAATGAAAACCAGGTCGCAAATTGGCTTCAAGACTCACCAAAGATGGAAAGCCAGTTATTAAATCCATTATTTCTCTCAATTTTTATTTCTGTCTTGAAGTTCACATTCTGCCTCATGTGGGTGTGCATAGTAACAGATTATAAGCATTTTATGACTTAACATGTTCATAAATAAATAAAACACAGTGAAATAAAAACTTATAACCCTTTTGCTAAATATTTTTAACTATTACTTAACAACTTGTCTTCCCTTCCAGCTGAGATAACATTTTTCAGTTATAACTTGGTGGGTGGGGTTAGGAAGACAACATGACCAAATATTTGTTGATACACAAGGACAGAAAAATGTTTCCTTTTGCCAACTCATCTGTTTTCTTAGTAAGACTAAGGTTTTTGATGCCTCTCCTATGAATGTCGTATTTAACAGATACAGCAGTCCCTACTATTTATGCAGGTAAAAATCAAATCTAATTTTTGACTATCACTTTCAGAAATGCTGCAATTTGAAGAACATGGTAGTAATATTCTTCCACTTTGTTCTAAGCTACAGAGGAATTAAAGCAACACAAACAAACAAACGAGTTCAGAGAAGAAGGGTTTTTTCTCTTTTAAATGCAAGAGATAAAGAATATTTATTGGTGACAAGCTTCTGTCAGTGTTGAATGGACTTTTAAAAAGCTGAAAATAAATAGACTGCATCTGGTTCAAATGAATACAGTATCTTAACAAAAAAACCAAGGTTATACTAATCAAGCCTTTTCCAGAAACCTTCCAGCACCAGGCTTCATCAGTAGGAATGTTAGTACAGGGAGTGCATTAGCATTTTATGTCTGCTCTTGCTCTGCTGGTGTGCAGCACACCAACTCTGTCAGGGCTCAGTTTAGCTCCACATGCATACGACGGCTGCAATTACTCCAGTGTGATGAAGAGTTGGGGGATTTGGAGGAGAGAGGAAAGAAACAGTCAAAAAGGATGTGGATGAAAAACGTCCTCCCTCTACAGTCATTCTGGAAACTAATTAAGACTAGAAATGCATGCTGCTCTGACGGAACTGTTTTCTGAAACAGTCTGGCTAGTCTAGGATAAACAATGCCTATCTGTCTGGTTTCAGAAACAGTTCAAATGTGGCTTGGCCCCAATCCACACTGCTCGCAAGGCTGCTTTAGAAAACATTTCTATCAGTCATATTTCACTATGCATTTTCAGCAGAAAGGAGTTCTAACTTTCTTTCAAAGTGTCCCATCATAATACAGCCTTATCTTCAAGAAACGCTTTTAGTTGTGTTTTCCTCACAGATGTACCCTAGACTCTTAGCTCCTTGTATCTCAAGTCTCTTTCTCTTGGATGTTTGTTTTTGAAGTTTCATTCTTTTGCTTTCATTTCTCTGAATAATTACAATCTTTAGGGCTTTAACTGTATTTATTATCAGACAGGAAGGAGACCAAAGTCTGGTAACATTAATCTGAAATCTTTTGGAGCAGCGATAACTTTCTATACTAAGAATTCAGGATTTACTTAAGACTTATAGGCAGAAATTAGGAAATCTATCAAGTATGCACATTCAAGTATCACTAAGAACAAAAAGGAACAAATTCTTTCTTTCACTGGCAAAAGCCCTTTGGCCCATTGCAATTTTCCTCAGAATCTGATAAACATTTTCATATAAAAGCAAGTATTTTTAGCTGGAAATCATAGGAGTCATCATGTAGACACAAGTTCAAGCTTTCCATGCAGCAGGAGGATCAAAAGGATACACAGAAAACATTTTTTAAACCAAAATGCATAAAACAAAGAAGTAAACCCTCTCATGAAACCAATCTAGTGAAGCTGAAGAATGGATGTATCAAGGGCAGCAAGGCAGCTCAAATATGCAACTATCTGTAATTTAGAACCCAGAGTAACATGGTTCTATTAGAAAATTTACGAGCTTGCAGGCAAAACAAGCTGTTAGAGGACAGTTTTTATTTTCCACTTTCCATTAACAGGTCTCTCATCAACAACCTTTTGGCAAAGCACTACATTTCCTACCCCCAGGAGAGTCTGATTCACATCTAGCTTACAATCATTTAAGCCCTTTAAAAACATGGACATGACAGTAGACACTTTTTTTCCCTCCCCCCCTCCCTGTGAAGCCCTGTAATGGAACTGCAAATTTCATAACTTTGTTATATACTAAACCCCAGTAATTTCAATAAGATGCTGTTCTTGGGGTAGCTGATTTTACCCATACCTTATGCAAATCCTAGTCTCTTATTCTGTGTTGCAAAGAGAGAAGTGATAAGGTTACTAATAACCTCCTCTGCTCCACAGTTAATGGCATGTTTTCTCTCAAGCCATCCAAATAATTAACATAACCAAATCAAATTTAATTCTCCTATTTGATGAGGTAGGAGCTGCAGCAATTACTGTACCGCATGGTCCTTGCCTCTTTCCCACCTCCTCCTCCTGTTCATAAGGCACAACAATGAACCAGAAGCCAGTGGAAAAAAAATCCTCACAAATGCACATGCCAAGGAAAAATTAATTCATCCAAAATGCGACTCTCCCTACAATTACATGAGAATACCTGAGGCGACAGTGTGACAATAACTAGCTGTGGGGATGGGAGACAGCAGCTCCTGTGCCACCCTGCCATGTACACAAGTGAAGTCCAAACTCATATTGCTGGAAGAAAACCATGCAGACAGCAGGACGTTTCAAAGTATTAAAGAATCTTATAAATATTAGCAACACCAGAGTCATAACTAATATGGAATAAGTAAATAGTAAATATGCAAAGTAGTCACCCACAACCCCCCCACCTTTTTATAGCATGCAGGAGTGGACAACTAGAGCAACTCCTCTGACATCTACACATTTATCCTAGACCTTGCCGTTAATTTAAATCACAAACTTTGTTTCATTTCCAGCTAAGGCAATAGCTTTGATGAGCTTCCCCTGCCAGCTCCTCAAAACCCACTTTGCACCCAGAAAAAGGCACTCAATAAGTTCAGAGATCTGTAAGTTGCTGTGCCTGCTGTGCTGAAAGCAGTTGGGTACTTCAAGTCGGCAGCAATATGAAAAGGGTCCCATGGGTCACCATTTCTGAAAGATAAAGAACCTGGAGTGGTGTGTTTCAAGTTGTTAAACACCTACTCACTCTTTCTGGCAGGCTCTACTCTGGGTTTCAAGGACAGGTTTTCTAAATATAAATACTTGAGGAAAATGCTTCAAAAGTATATTTCAGATCTGTGCTTTAGGAAAATAAAATTGCCACAAGGTAGACTGGGTAAAGAGTAAACTGTTCAGTGGATAAAGTGCACTTGCTGTGCATAAACCATGGTTTCTCCCTCATCAGGGGCTCTACTTCGACAGTTCCTTGACTGAGCACTGTTTCTCTTCAAACACAATTTCAGTGTAGCTACCAGGTTTCTCAAAAGGCTGCTCCTGCAGGGTGACTCCTGACCCAACACAGCGGCTGTGTGAGCATCACTCACCTCGGCAGTCCCCACAGACCAGAGAAGGGGAGGTGCTGTTTAAGTGGAATAAAGCTCAAATCACACAGCCATCTCCAAGGCAGCACGCAGGGAGTTGTGTCTGCCCAGGGCAGGACAGCTACCTAAGCCAAGAGGCCTGGGTGTTCTGGGCTATCTTTTCACCCACCTGATCCTTTAGCTGGTTCAGGAGCAGCAGAATCCCAGCCCAGTGGAGGGCACCTCATGGGTACATTCTCACAAGCTGGCTGATGGTGAAGCAGCTTGACTGTTGAGTGCAAACAGGCAGAGGATTGATGGATTTTATTTGCTTCTGGAGATCACAGGCAGGCTTGTGACTGTCCTCTTCCTGCCTGTGAGCCTACCCTTAGCCATCTAGGGAAGGTCTCCCCAGCTGTCTACAGTCCTCTGCTCTACAGGTTGTACTACTGCTTGGGATACAAAAGACATCCCAAGCTACTAGCCTGTCTCAGCATCTCTTCATCAAGTACTTCCACACCCTCCTATTGGCTTGCATGGGATTCTCAGCAGGAATTGAGCAGCCCTTCACATCGCCTGCTCCCTTTATCAGAACCAGGACCTTTCGTTTATTTATCTAAACTGACATAACAATGAATATTCTATAGGAAAACTGACTGCATTTTTTTCATACATCTCTCTAGACATAAATAAAAGCCTAAAGGGGAAAAAAAGCCAACAAAAATAATGAAAAAGAATGATCACTACTTCTAAAAAAATTAATATTCTGAAGCATCTATTCCAAGGTCTCAAAATTTATCCTTTATGTCAAGTTACAGAAAGCTTTTCATAAAGTATCAGTCGTTAGGTTCACATAGCCATGTAAAAGTTAAACGTATGTCTAATTGTGATGGTTATTGACCCTGCTTTATACTCACACACAGAGTAAAAATAATTAAAATGTTGCTATTTTTAATGTCTTGTGACTTCTTGGAATGTGAGCCAAGAATTTTAAAATAGCTCATGCTGAAATTACTGTAAGGCAAAACACTAGTTCAATAAAAACTATATTCCTCTCAGTTACTTTAGAAATCATGCCATCTTTGTAACAGCCAGTGTACTACAGTGCAACATTCTAAAAACTTTTTAGAAGACATTACTCCAACCACAAAATGTTTTAAATGTCACCTAAATTATTTCACTGCAGACTGAATTACATAAAAATGGTAAGAATTTTATAGCTAAATTAGGGGTGGAGCAAAAGATTAGATTAACCACCACCTGCAGGGCAAAGACAGCCTTCCTAGTTCTACCTAAAAAGCTCCTGAAGTTAAAAACAGAAGACTCACAGCTATCCCAAATTCATGATGTGATGCAGTAG